GGAGATGAATAGCAATGTCTCTTTTACTATAATAAATATAAAATTAAAAAATTTAAGCATTCAGTGTATAATTTGATCACCCATTATATTTTTCAACCTTACTGACATCTGCTTCCTTTCATATGTTTTTCTTTACTCACCACTTACTGGGTGCCAAAGATTGTGCCAAATGTGGCTGATTTCTGGCCCTCAATTTGTCACCCAGAATGTTCTCATTCCGGACCCTCACCGCCTGCGTCCTGCCTTCTGTGCCTCCTCCAACTCCACCCTCTGCCCTGCTCTGGGGTTTCCAGCATCATCCCCCAAGCTGACATCATGGTTACGTGTTTGTTTTTCTTCCCTCTCAAGCCCCTCACAGGGCCGTGTGGTTCCAGCATACCAGGCCCTGTACAGACGCGTGTCTATAAAACCGCATCTTCTCCAGTGTAGGAAATGAAACAAACCCAGGGGAAAGTGTTTTAAAACACAAGCTCATTAAATGTGATCTTAGGTACTACTAAATATAGCTGTATGGAGACAAATGTCATGCTTAATTAGCAACACATTGTGAGCCACCTACAGCTCGCTTTGAGACAAAGCAGTATTTGAACATGTGAAATACTGTTTCTTCGTTTCTTGTCTTCACTTCTGCTTAGATTTTAATCTTTTTACCTCTTGAACCAGCAGTTTCCTTCCTGCTGATCCATTTGTCACGATGCTCCTGACTCATTCTGCTCGGCCTGCTCTGCGGTGTCACTAGGGGTTCAGGACTCCTCCTGGCCCGATGAACCAAGCCCCATCTGTCCCTGGCTGTGACCCTGCTTCACCCAGATTGAACTTGGGCCACTGCAGCAGGAGCAGGACCTTTCAGTCTCAGCCCCCGAATGCGGCCTGGTCACACATCTTTGACATCTGAGCGGTTTGACAGTGCAGTTCTCTTGTGATCTACTGAAGGGTTCTCATGGGCAGCAACTCTGGGGCTGGTGACTCCCGGGACCCCGTGGCCACACCCTGTGGTCTGGTGCTGCTCGTGTCGTGGTATTTGTGTGCCTCTCCCATTTCCTTGTGGACTGGCCTCTTCCCAAAGGTGAGGTGGTGTCATTAGAGTCCCTTCCTGTAGGTCTCACACTTGGTGTGTGCATCGTGCATGTGTGTGTGTGCATGAGCACAGTACAGAGGCTGGAAGAGCCGCAGGAGCAGGTAGTGCAGTGGGGGTTGATGGAAGCTCGAGGGCATAGAGGCTCCTTCAATTCCAGAATTTTGCACAGGATGCAGGAGATAATTAGACTCGGGGGAATCATTGGAAATCTTTTTGCTTCCAGGGTCAAAATATTCCTTGTAGAGTGAATTACTTCCACTCTGGGATGTTCATCTCGGCGAGAATGTTCACGTGTACCTTATTGCTTGGTTTCTTCAATACGGCTCTCTGATCATCAGTTGTTAAAATAGAACATTTCAGCTCCCAGAAACGCATCCTGAGGTTGCTCTGGTAACCAGCGGCAGCTCTGGAGCTTCAGCCGAGGTCGCCACACTTTCAGGTTGTCCATCGAGAGGCCGTGTCTCCGTAGCGCCCTTGTGATAGGTCCGTGGAGGCCCTCAGTGCAGCAGCGGAGCACCTCACCTCCAGGAGCCCCAGTGTGCTCAGCGCGCCCTGCCCTCCCCGCTGGACTGCGCTGGCTCTGAGCTCTGGACATCGCAGACGGCTGTTTAAACCAGAACGCGTCTCTGGTCTCCTTTCTCTGAGGAAACAGCTGGGGAGACATCTATTTGTGAGGCCCACATGGGGTCTGATCACCATGGCCGCGTCTGTGAGTCCCCAGCACTGTACAGACCTGTAGCCCCGTGTGCCTCGCCCCAGCACGCATGTATGACTCTGTGCATCCCCTGATCACATGAGCTGCTGGAGCTGGTGGGTGGTGACCATCCTGGCTGGGCTGTGGGTGGCTGCAGGGCCCAGGGTGCCATCTTGGTGTCCCCATCCCTGCACCCTCCTGGGTTGATGGAGCTGTGCCTCCCTCCCGGGGTGCTGTCAGGAGTCCTGGGACCATGCAGTGCTGCTCTCAGCACCGAGCCAGGCTATCCCTGTCACCATTGCCGCCACATGTGCTCCTTGCTGGGCTTCAGGGACCAGGGAAAAGCCTTTGCTGGTTCCTCAGCAGCGTGAAGTCCTGGTCTCGCTCATGCTCCAGCTCCCAGCTTGGTTCTTCCAGTCTGAACGTGACTTTTCGTTGGTCTGCGACACATAGGACGTGTGTCTGTGAGGATCCCCTGCCCCAAGGAGTGTCTCAGTGAATGAGAAAGAGAAGAGTTTAGGACTCCTGGAATGAACGGCTAAGGGTAGAGCAGATCTGCAGGACAGCGGAGGGTCGGCAGGACACCCGCTTTGGCCCGTGTATTCCCACAGCCTCGGTGAACTCACCTCGATGAGATGCACAACTGTCCTGTGACAAGCCATCCTGCACCCTCCCTGTCCCTCGCAGAAACTCCTGAAGAATCAGTTTCCTGGGACGGACTTCTCATTGGCATGGGGAGGATGATGGCAGCTGTGGGGAGGAGGAGAAGCTGTCTGCCAGCATCGCAGAGCAGGGTCCCTGAGAACCTCTCTGCAGCCTTGTGTGTGCTGCAGGATGCAGGCTGCGGTCTGGGGCTGCCAGCTTGTGCTGCCCAGGTGACCGGTTGGGAGCAGGTCTCGCTGAGTCCTCATTGCTGCCACTGTTTAGTCTGAGACTTATGATGCTCTCCAGTGTGTTCGTGGACAGCCTGCCCGCCACATGTCCCCTGCCAGTGATCACAGGAGACACGGGCCAGTGTTTGGGCTCCTGTCCCCCTGGGCGGTGGGTGATGGGCGTATGCTCTGCGTAGCCGCCCCCTCCACACAGCACCAGTTTCCTGGACACAAGCAGCAGTTGCAGAGAAGCCCAGAGCTGCACTGCTGTGGTTCCTCCATGTTCTTCCCTACTTTGTGCAACACTTGGTGCCGTGTGGCTGCCTGCATCTCCCTGTGCCCTTGTCTGCTTCTCTCCTGCTCCTGGAGGCGGCCAGACCCGGGACTCAGGGCCTCTGTGACATCGCATCTTGGTCCTCACTGTCTCCTAGGCTGTCCGCTGGGAGCCTGGGGTTTTATTTGCCCTCCTGTGGTCATTCTGGCTCCTCCAGGGACAAATGGGGTCCCTGCTTGGGGACAGGGTGGCTGGGGCTGGGGGGCGCACTGGGAGCAGGGTCTCTAGGGCTCGCCGTGGGAGCACAGGTTTGGGGAGGCCTAGGGGAGTCGGGTGGGGGGATCCAGGGAGGGATGTGTGGGAAGGCGTGAGTGTGCTGTCCCTGCTGCTCCCCGCCCTGCGCACTCACTTGGCTGCGGATGGTGCAGTTGCTGCCCAGTGCCCAAACGGGGTGTTGGGCGTCCTCCCGAGCCCTCAGTGGCCGTGGGAATGGTGTGGTCCCAGCACTAGGCATCTGTGGGGACCTCGCTGAGGTGCTGGGGGGCTCCTCAGCCTCACTCGGCCAGGTGAGGTCAGCAGACAGTCCTCAGTGGGAAAGGGACCAGCAGAAGGAGCTCCTGCCTCCGTGTCGCTTCTGTCCACAGGATGTGAAGAAACAAGTGAGCACCTCACAGGCTTGTGAGTGGTGACACAGAGGTCCGTTGGGAGTGGCCTGTGCCTCCCTCGCCACCGCCACCTCCAGCAGGACACTGGCCTTCTGCCCATAGCGGTTTCTGCCTCCCCTCCTGCTGTGTCTGGAACTTGGCCCCTTTGTCCCCAGCTGTGACGGACTTTGTGCAGGGTCCTCACCCTCAGCTGTCCCCTCAGCGCTCTGGGGCTGCTAGTGAGGGCCCTCTGCAGGCCCCGTGGACTAGACCTTGACCCTCGCCTGTGGGGTCTGGAACGTGCCCAGCCCTGCCTGCTCTCATCAAATGGCTCTTTCTTTTCTGAGCAGGATCCCCACTCCCTGCCCTGAATTCAGGAAGGAAGGACAGGAGTGGGCTGTTGCGTGTTCCTACACTGCGGATTCAGGGGGTGGGGGATTGGGGAGAGCGCTTTGTCCTCACCTCCCCAGGGGGCTCATTGACAGAGCTTTTGAAATTCCAGGGCCTTGATGCTGCCAGAAGACAGCAACCGGGAAGGCTGGCCCAGCGGTTTGTTGAGGCGGAACCACCCACCAGAGGAGAAAGTGGGGTGCAGGGGGACTGGAGGAGGCGGGCAGAGCAGCCGCCCCTGGGGCCTGGGCTCGAGGGCCACAGGCCCCACCCTTCTGGGCAGCACTCAGCGCTCTGTGTGGCAGACCGCGCGTGGAGCCTCTCTGGGGACGGACGGAGAAAAGGCGGGGTGAAGGTGGAGTGGAGAACGCCTTGCAGGCAGTTGGAGCTCACGGAGGGCCGGGCGTGCATGGTGGGCTGCTCCGCACGCGGATGCGGTGTTTCCGCCACACGTGCACGTGTGTGTGTGTGTGACGTGCTGTGCAGTCATGTCCTGAGCCCACGGGGACGGGTCAGGGCCCTGTGGGTACAGAGCGTGCACAGGCGCCCAGGTCCCTCTCAGAAAATGCCACGGCATTTGTGTGTAATGCACGCACTGCTGCCATCCACAGCAAACCCTCTCAGGATTCCGTGCGCTGTCCAGTACAGTGTAAGTGTGCAGTAAACAGCTGTCAGTCTGTGTTGTTTGGGGAACAAGAAGGAAGCCCTCCAGTGTTTAATGCGGACACGAGGTTCTTTCTGTTTCCTTTCCACATCTCACAGATGTGAGACCTGTGGTCGTGGAGGCCCCGCGGGTCCCGTGCTGTAAGTGACGTGGCTGGTGTTCGTGCAGTCACGGATGCATTCTCCAGGGAATGACCGTGCAGGCTGCAGACTGCCAGTTTGCGTGCAGCTGCTGGCTGGTGCCCAGCAGTCCCTGCCCCCGCCGTCTCGGGTGGCTTCGGCTGCTCTTCCCTGTGTGCCCCAGGCCTGGGTCCCGAGGGCAGGGGCTCATGGGTGGGGTCCCCAGGGCAGCGTGCTGTCCCCTGATGCTGTCCGCTCTCCCCAGCTGGTGCTGCCCGAGTACTCCATCCACAGCCTCTTCTGCGTCATGTTCCTGTGTGCTCGGGAGTGGCTCACCCTGGGGCTGAACGTGCCACTGCTCTTCTACCACTTCTGGAGGTGAGTCTGCGGGACCGGAATGGGCCCAGGCAGAGGGGCACCAGCCCTCCTCGCTCCTGCCTCCGGGCCCCCTCTCCAAACCCCACCCGTGCCCCTGGCCTGTGGCGGGG